AGGAATCTCCAAAAACAGCACCTAAGTGATGCCACTTAAATGCATCCACTGGCTCAGGTCACTTACAGTAAAATGTCTGTCAGCAGCACATATGCATAACATAAAATCTTTACTATCATCTTAATATTCTTGGTTGTTACAGACGCCAAAGAAAATCTGGGATATGATCCAAAAATACTTTTGATCTTTAACTAAAGCCCAGACATATGGTAGCAATACATAAGCAACATGCAAAACCAAAATGAGCGAAAAACTGAAAAAGTAAAGACAGAAAAGGGAAGAAAATTATTTTAGCCATATATGAAATTAAAAACAGCTGTAGCAACGACAAGGAGAATTATCCTCACTGTGCTTAAACAACTACTTTGAGGTTTATATAAACGGTGAATTTGATGAACAAATAAAACCAAAATCCATTTAATTAGCTTACTGGTTTTCTTTCTCAGGAAGCTGGTGTTTAGTAACAGAAAACCAGGTAAGAGTTTCAAAATTGAAGCTACATCACAATTATACTTGTAAGAGCAAGACCCAGTTCAGCCCAGACACCTGCCCAGGCTCCCACTGCTCTGCCTGCCCAGAAGGCAGCAGGTCCACACTTCTGATCCCACCAACCAAGGGCTCTGCCACCACACTCAACCACAAGCTCACTGGTCTTGAAATCCTGGTACTGACTAGCTCTCTTGGTTACTTTTCCTTACTCAGCTGTGCTGGAATGTGGCCAGTTCAGAAGGAAATAACTATTTTAGAGGACTCTTATGCTTATTCGTCTCCTGGCTGGGGTCTGCCCCTGGGAGAGGGGGAGGCTGGCTAAAGGGAATTTACCCTTGGGACTGCAGCCTTGTCATGCTTAAAGTGTAGATGGTGCTTAAGTATTTTCCTGGCCATGAAGCAAATAGTAAAAACTTAAATCTTCAACCTCAAGAGCAAGAAAGACACTTTGAAAATTACTAAGAACCATTAGTTTAAAAGGCTTATATCAAATGGTGATTACTACTGTGACCATACAACTACTATGAGAGTTCACATTGTTTCAGTATGAAACAATAAATGCACTTATTTCTACATCATCTATTTAACCCTGATGATATATATTCTCCTTTCTTTGGGGAAAAAAACCCCAAAATCCTAAAGTCAAAAGAAAATTTAGCAGAAAACAGTAGACTTCAAGGCTTGGAAAAGTGAAGCTGCTCACTGAACAGAAGGTGGTTTTAGTCAAAAGTAAAGGGGACAGAAACCTTAAGAGTTTTAGGCCAACAACTGTGCACTCCTGAATGCAACTACAGGTGATGCCCTCTTCACACAGGGGTCTACCCCCATTCTTTGGCCAACTTATCTTGGGAACCACTGGGTTACAGCTATGCACTGACTCTCCCATAGGTTAAAAAGACAGATAAAACCCAAAAACTTTAATGCTGAAATTGTGGAGTTCATTACAGAATCAATTTAAAGTTGAAGTTCACATGTGGCTTCATGCATTGGAGAAATCTGTCCCACAGACACAACTACTCTTTTTATGCAGTTTTGCTTCTCTCAGTTCCACCACACAGTGGTTCAATTTGACTCCAGTTATTTGGAGACACCACTATCAGTCACTCCTGCAATGCAAAAAGGTCTAAATGAAACTCATCAGTCACCAGGAGCTAGGGCAA